CAGGTAGAACTTAATTCTCTTCAGATTTCATGTCTAAGAAAACGTACAAGCAAAACAGAATGTTCCATTGCTAAGCAGCCAAATTCATGTATTTTAAATTAAAATGTACATGGCAGGCATAGTCTTACAGATAAGGGTTAAGACAAAATTTTGCTGTGATGAATCTAAAGTCAGTACTCAAAAAAATTGAAAGTAGATGCCTGACCACTGCACTGTACACCTGAAGCTGAAGCTGAATAATAATGAATGTCAACTATAATTTTATCTGTATGTAGTCACAGGATGTGGAGTATAGTGTAGGGAATAGTATCAATGGAATTGTATCAGCTATATACGATGTCAGAGGGGTAGTAGATTGGGGGAGAGGGGTTATCACTTTGTGAGGGGTATAAATGCCTGACTATTACATTGTTTTGTATACCTGAAACTAATTAAAAACAAATTTTTTTTAATTGAAGGTAAGTTGTTATGCACAGAGAGTCTGCTCAGTGACCACCTCAGGAGAAAAACGACAGCAGGGCCTGGGGCTGGTATAGACACAGGACTGGTTTCCCATCGTATATGTTGGTGCAGAGAATGGGTATCCCGTGGGTCTTGATGGAGCACTTTTAGTATGTAAACAGCATCACTAACTGCTCCCAGAATGGCCCATCGTAGGTGGGAGCTGACTCCAGACCCCAATATGGCCCTTGTTTGAATCCAGCCTGGAGGGAAAAATCAATAGCAGGGGAAACCAGAGCAGGTCCCAGCTGCGTATTGCCTCTGCACAGGGCTGGATACTTACTGCTTCCTGCCAGCCCTTTCTACCCAGAGATCCCAGCAGGGCAAGACTACAGTTCTGTTCTAGCATTACAGAGGTTCAACATCTGGACAAGTGAATGACCTGGTTGTACTAGCACAGAAAGCCAGTTTTAGGTGCTTAATAGCATCCTCTGACTCTCTTCCTCCCCCTGAAAAATCATAAGATACAGAGACAACTTAATATTGTGGACTTCTCTGTAAGAAATTAAAATCACACAGCAGAAACTTACAGACCACACAGTTCTTGCACCTGTGGGACTGTATGTGCCTGGGGTTTGTCTGCTTGTGGTGAACTGTGTTGGCTAATTGGTGCGAGCGACAGCCCTGTGATTGTGCTTTTGTACCGTGTTGATGATTAATGACTAGGTATGTATTTTAAGATGAAGAGGGATGTTCAGCATAACATCTGCATGACAAGGGAGAATAATTTTAAACATGTTTTGGGGTCTATTAATCCCATTTTTACATCTTTATTTCACAAAATAGTCTTAAGAAAGGAAAAAAAGGTCAACTCAAATGTTTACTCTGCCTCTCCAACTATTTACCAATCCCTCAGAGACAACCTGGCTGTCCCCTTTGACCTTCTGTTGGAGAGAGGCTATTTTAATTAAGGTTATTGAGAGACTGCAGAAAATACAGTATAATGACTCTGAGCTAAAAACAAACAAAAATAGCCTTAAAAACCTTATATCTAATGACTACTTCTCTCAGTTTCTGAGGACTCATGCAGATAGTGCACGTTTCAAAGAGAATTTCAGGGAAACTTCTAATCCCAATCGATAAGCTTATAGGGTGAAGATTGTGTTAGCAAATATTTAATTTGCAAATATCAGTATCCAGCCTTCTCTAGCTGAATCCTTGTATACATTTATAGCTTACCTTTAATTTTTGAACCTGTAATGTTTGTTACAGAAATAAAACCCTTCCTCCTGATCAGTAATCAGCCCACGTGGTATAACAGAAACACAGTCACAGCGCTGTTACTTTCACCTATCAGAGCCAATGCAATCCACTGCAAGCAGACACATCCTGTCGCATACATTCTCACAAAAGCAAAACCTGTGTTCTTGTGAGGAAATGATTTGATTTGAACCGGTAATAATGTACATCCTTATAAAGCTATAAGCCAGTGACAGGAGATTCTGGGTAATTGAGAGAAAGAGTCACTCTTCTTAAGAAAACATACAGCTAACTATTTCAATTTCAGGGCACTATATATAAAACTGAATAATTTTAATTTTAACCAGTTTGAACAAATCTTTACATTCCACCATCTGAGTAAGTTTTTTTTAAACGACATGTTAGCTTAGAAACTGCCTTATACTTTCAAAGCTCCAAGGTCACATGTAGTAGGTTTATTTCCCGATACTAGGCCTCAGTTTTGAGCTTCAAGTCTTAGGGAGCAGCTTACTCACATTGATGAGTATTTTGAATTTAGGCAAACAAACAAACAAACAACCCCCCCCCCACACACACACACAGATGTAAGCTTATAACAGTGCATAGCAGTCTACCTACAACTCAAGCACACGTTTCTGAAAGACCTGGAGCTAATGAGGTTATAACGTTGTTCTCTCTCACTGTTCCCTGAAGGCATAATTCAATCAGAAGACAACTCAACCTGTCAAACCCGGACTTCAATATCCAGCAGCTTCAAAAACAGGAACAGTTGACTGGAATTGGTCGAATCAAACCAGAGTTATATAAGCAGAGGTCACTGGATAATGATGATGGGAGAAGGAGTAACAGCAAGGCCTGTGGGAAACTGAACTTTATTTTAAAATATGACTGTGACTTGGAGCAGCTCATAGTGAAGATTCACAAAGCTGTCAATTTGCCTGCCAAGGACTTTTCTGGGACCTCAGATCCTTACGTCAAGATCTATTTGCTTCCCGATCGGAAAACAAAGCACCAGACTAAAGTTCACAGAAAGACCCTGAACCCTGTGTTTGATGAAGTATTTTTGTTTCCAGTTCCCTACAATGACCTTGCAGCCCGGAAGCTTCACTTCTCTGTGTACGACTTTGACAGGTTCTCTCGCCATGACTTAATTGGCCAAGTGGTGGTGGATCACTTCTTAGACTTGGCTGATTTCCCCAGGGAGTGCATCCTTTGGAAGGACATCGAATATGTCACCAATGTAAGTCCAGCATGTCTTCATTTTGTTGGGGAAGCGGGGAGTGCTTCTTGGTCACCATGAAACAAATTACTTCTACCTTATTTTATTTGGGGGGCAAAGTATAAAATCCATGTCAATGTACTTGTAGCTATGGCTTCAGAGCCTCCTGGTACCTTTCCAGAAACAGATCTTAGACAATATTCATTTTGGAATTTCCAAGAATTATTCATGAAAACAATATTAAAGAATAACATTCTCTCTTTTCTAATTCTTAGCTATTTCTCTACTAGACATTAGATGTTATCTGTCCTCCTTACCACATTTTCTTTAGAGCTTTCTGAGGTTGTTTGTGCTTAATGGACCCTAGCAGCCTATTATCTGTATCTGCAGCTGAGAGCATTAAGTCCTTGCCTATGTTCTCAGGTCAGCTCAGGTCATTTCTCATGATCAGATCTTCAACTTTAACACCAGCAGTGAGAATCGTTGAGAAGAGTTGCCACCACATTTTCAAATATAGAATCGAAGTTATAAGGAGGTCAGTTTGAAAAGATCTACAGATATTGGCAAGACTAATCTACAGAAGGTCAAATCCAATTTAGAGCTCAGGAGAGAGAGGGCAGAAATCCTATGTGGTGATGCCCTATATCCATGTACATGCGTATATTTTCAACACGAGATTACAGTGATGATATTTTTACTCCATTTACATCCTTTCATTTTTCTGCAGAGATGTATTGACACTCCTGAAATAGAAAGGAAATTGGATTTTCTTAGGTAACTCTGATATTTTAAAACTACTTTTTAAGTTTCTTTCACCTGTCCAGTTTCCCTCAGGTAACTGTTAGCTTGCCTTCTGGAATAGGGGCCCTTCTGAGGCCCTTCTTTTTCTCCGCTTTGGCATCCAAAGACACCAAGTACTACGCAGCTCAGACCGTAATCCAGCTTAAGTTTAGAGCCTATTTAGTGAAAAGTTCTCACTGCGCTCAGAGCACACACATTCTCTGCCCGATGACCAAATAGCCACCCCAGTACTTTCTCATCCTTAGCTATTTTTGTGAACTGGGGGCTGACCCACACTTGGGCACCTTCTCTTCACAGGCCACAAGATACCACTGCCAGCTTGGTCTGGCTGCTCAGATAAGCAAAGTATATATAGCATGGGGTTGTGCTGGCTTTTATCATAATGAGGAAGAAAGAAAAGAAGGAGCTGGAGAGAACATTGGGTGATGAAATTAAAGTGATTTGGGAGATTGGGGAAGGAACAGATCTCTTCAACCTTGAAAGGTTATGATCTCTATAAATGAAAAGGTGGATGTGGGGGGGAAGCAAGGATTATACTTATCCCAGTTGCCAGTCTCAGAAGGCAGCATGAGAAGCTTTAATGACGCAAAATGGGCTGGCTGTTTATATTGTTATGAGTGGCTCAAGCATAAACCCTCTCACTGGAGTCTTTACCAAGTCCCCTTGGGTATAAGCTGACACTGTCGGCCGACGGTGATGAGTTCCGGTCAAGAGAGGTTAGTCATACCATCTAGTATGACATCAATTCGTATTTTTTGACAAATGAATTCTGTAAAATAGCTGATGTGGTTATTAAACAGCTCAACAGGGATCCTGCTCTGAGTTGCCTTCTAGAGACTTTGTGGAGAGAGCAACACTGAGTGGACAGTGGCTGATAAAAATCTGGATGAGGCTGATCCTGGTAGGAACATCTTCTAGAGCAGTTTCTCATAGGATGAGAATATCGAACGGCAGCCTGCAGGACCTTATGGCCCTGAGATCACTGCCATTTTAGCACTCTTCTGGGACTAAGAGTCCCCCGTCCATTGCTGGAGAAGCTTTGATTTCCATAGAGTTTGAGGACAATGCAATTATTAATCAAGGAAGAAAACAAAAAGGCTAAAAGCTTCAAAATTCTCAGTTGTTTCCTCAGGCAAATAATAAACATTCTAAGCATTGATCTAGTCCTTTGGGTGGCCAGCAGGAGAGAGGAGCTCTGAGAATGGAATTACAGGTTATTTTATAATCTGCCATGTATTTTGAAAATGTCATTAAGAAATTATTATTTGGGGCTGTGTTGACGGGGTTTTTTTGCAAATGGCTTTATATAGAGACTAAGATGAAGGTCTGAGATTTGCCAATGTTTCATTTTTATAATATAGCACATGCGTAACACAGGGTATATAATGTGCACACACCTGCTAACGAGGAAATAATTTAAGGAACAGACGTGAACTCACTCCTCAGATGAAGAATAGAACCTCACCAGTACTTCGGTGACCCTTGGGTTGTTCTCCCTCATCACATGTTCTCTCAGTCCACTCCTGCCCAGAGGAAACCACTATCCTGAATTTTATCTGTAGACATGTTTATAAAACAATGTATTGTTTGGTTTTGTCTCTTTTTGTTTTTCAAAGCTCTTCTTTGACTTTTTTTTTTCCAGTTCACATTGATTTTGACATTTAGCAATAGAGATGAATGGAGCTGTGGTTCATTTATTTTCACTGCTGTATAATATTCCATTGTGCTATACATGACAAATTAGCTGTCTTATATTGATGACATTTGGGTTGTTATTAGTTCTTTGGGATTCTGAATAACAGTGCAGGGAACATTTTTGTGCACATCTCCTGGTTCACATATGAAATAATTTTTCTAGGGTTGTACCCCTGAGTGAGGTAAGATACACATGTCAACTTTTCTAGCAATGCCGAGATCTTTTCTACAGTGGCTGTACAAATTGATCTGCCTACTGATGAGATTTGATAGTTCCTAATGTTCCACCTTCTCACCAACTATTGCAGTAGCCACATTGATTAGTGAGTGTGTGTACGTGTACATGCATGTAAGATGGTATATAATTTGTGTTTTCTTGGTTGCCAAGGTAGACCATCTTTTGATATGTGTGTTGGCTATTCATGTTTCCTTTCTTGTAAAATGCTTGTTCAGTAACTCTTTTCTATTGGATTTTTTTCTTATTGATTCATATATGTTCTCTATATAGTCTATATGCAAATTCTTGTTGATGTGTATTACAGACATCATCTCGCAGTTTATGGCTATCTTTATACTTATTTTATAGTATCTTTTGATCCATTGAGGTTCTTATGTTTTAATGTAGTAAAACGTCAATATTTTCCGTTGTAAGTTAATACTTATGTGTCTTGTTTAAGAAATCCTGCCTTACTTTATGTCATAAAGAAATTTCTCCTATGTTTTCTACTTGAAATTTTAAACTTTTGACTTTTCTAATTATGACTTTAATCCACTTAGAATGAAATTTTTGTACAGTTAATACAGGCATCTTGTATTAGTCAGCTTGAGCTAAACAACAGGAATTCATTTCCCACAGTTCTAGAAGCTGGGCAGTCCAAGATCAAGGTGCCCACAGATTCGGTTCCTGATTAGAGCCCTCTTCCTGGCTTGTAGACAGCAGCATTCTCTCACTGTGTCTTCACATAGCAGAGAGAGAGAGCTCTGGTCTCTCTTCTTCTTGTTCTTATCAGGACACTAGTCCCATCATAGGGGGCCCATCCACATGCCCTCATTTAAACCTAATTACTTTCCAAAGGACCCACCTCCAAATACTGTCATATTGGGTATGACGGCTTCATCATATGAATTTGGGGGCACATGAATTTTCAGTTTATAATGCATCCATATTTCTTTTTCCAAATGGGTAACCAATGTTCTGGCATATTTCCCCAATAATCTGCAGTGCATTCTGTGTCTTATATAGATTTCCATATATGAAGAGTGTTCTAGATTCTCTTTTATCCATTGTTTTATTTGACTCTCTCTACCAATAGCACAATTTTCAAATTCCTATCATTCTGTGATAAGTCTTGACATCTGGAAGAGCAATTCAGTCATCCGGTATGCTTTTTGTTCAGTTTAATCTTGACCAATATTTGACTATTCTCATAAATTTTAGACTCTTAATTGTCAAGTTAAAATTTTTTCTGGTATTTGTTTGGACTTATATGAAGTCTATAGATTAATTTAGGGAAACTTTACATCTTTTATGATATTGCATCTTCCTATTTGTGACCAAAGTGCATTTTCTTCATTTATTTAGTTCTTCTTTAAAGTCATTCAAGGCTTAAAGTTTTCAACATGAGGATCTTGCATGTTAGATTTATTGCTAGGTACCTATTTCTGTTATTTTAAATAGTTTCTTTTCTAAAACTGCATTTTTTAACTAATGCTGCTGTATAGCAATACAGTTTAAATTGTGTATATTTATCTCTTTTTGTTACTCTTGCAAAACTTAATTCTCATAATTGGATTATGGATTCTTCTGAATTTTCTTTTTTAGATAATCAGTCATGCGAATTATCATAGTTTGTTTCTAATTTGTATGCCTTTTATTCTTTTTTTTTTTAATTTAGGGCACAGACTAGCATTTCCAGCACAGTGCTGAATAATAATTTTGGTAGTAGTCATTCTTAACTTGTTCCTTATTTTAAATGGAATGTTTTTAACATTTGCATTAATACAATTTTGCTATAGATATTTTGTGGATGTCTTTATAATATTAAGAATGTATCCCTTTATTCCTTGTTGACTAAGACTTTATCACAGACAGTTGTTTTATCAAATGCTATGATCCTCTGAGGGTTTTTTTGCCCCCTTGAATATTGTTACTTTGATCAATTACATTAATTAGTTTTCTTATTTTCAGCCAATCTTATATTCCTAGTATGACCCCAGTTGGCCTTAATATATTACCTGTTTTATACATTGCAGAGTTCAGTTTACTAATATTTTGTTTAGCATTTTTTGCATCTGGATGCTGAAGAGTGATACATGTAATCTACTTTCTTGGATGATCCTTATCTGGGTTAGAATCAATGTGACTTGATTTATAAAATTGATTGGCGGTATTTTGGATACTTTCAGTTTGCTTCAGCTCAGTGCCCCTGGATGCTTTGGGGATTTTGTTTATTTTCCTTCAAAGTGAAAATAGCTCCCTTAGTCTCTGATATCTGGTTAGGTTCAGACAACAAGGAAGGGAGGAG